ATTGTCCTACCCTAACAAACCATACATCAATGGAAAGCTTATTTATTCAGATTTCATATGAAGTATAAATCTCAATTTTGACACGTAAGACTGGTTTTGTGGTCCAGGGTCACATATATGACTTTACATATGAATGCATTACTACACAGCTACATGTTTACCTTACTGTGCAGGAAACACTGAGCAGCCCATAAATGAAGATGAAAAGAAGCAAGCGGATGTGTTTATTTCTATTCAAGCGTTCCCTGCTCTGGTGGACGTCCCTAATGTGTTAGAGATCAGCAGGATCAGCTGTGGATCGCGTCATACAGCAGCCGTCAGCGGTGAGATCCAGATCTGATCACTGGAGCTTAAACTGGACTCGAGAATATACTAGTTGACATAAATGATTAAATGAACTCATTCTTATTTATTTGCAGGTACAGGGGATCTGTACACTTGGGGATGGGGTAAGAGTTTGCTTCGTTTTATAGAAATAAATCAATGCAAAACTCATCTACATCTTGGATGGCCTGAAGGTGAGCACATTCTCAGCAAATTTTAATTTTTGGGTGAACTCTGCTTTTAATTTCTTTCTTAAAAAAAACAACAACATACTGACCCCAAATTTTTGAAAGTTTGAATATGTTAATTATTTAAAAAAAAGTGCTAAAAGTTGCCTTTTCTCCGTCTGTGTCATATTATTAGGCCATTATGGACAACTGGGACATGGCACTGAAAATAGCACAGATGAGCCAACACTGGTGGATTACTTCGCTAGCCATCGAATGTGTGTTAAGGATGTTGTCTGTGGCTTATGGAACACTTTTGTGTCTGCTGTGCCAAAAGAACAACCTCCATCCCGACAGGAATAGACTGTTTCAGAGTGCCATATAAATACAGCGATGTCAAAGTCACAGAATTAGAGTTTATTAAATTAGGTACAAATATATGATTCAAAATACAGGATATAAAGTAGATTTCTTTTCTTTTAACAGAGTAAGTCAAATGTTTTTAAACATATAAATTGTAGAAATACTGAACAAGAATATACATTCACAATTAGGTCGCTACATTATTGACAGACCAAAGGCACAGGTGAAAATTCTGGACCGGAAAACAGCTTCCGTTCTGTGTAAACTTCACAACACAATCTTGAATGAACTGCAAAAGAACATTCTCAGTCAGTGAGGAGAAATCAGGAGAAATGCTGCCTTCAAGTCTTGGGAAGAAGACTTTTGAAACTTTGGGAAATTTCATAATTTTCTCACTTCTCAACAAAAACAGGACACTTTTTTCGCACTAACAAAAGTGCAAAAGATGTGAATTAGGTGTGTAATTGATGCTGTAAGCATTTTATAATTCTTGTGCTGTAATAAAGAATGATGAAAAATGTAATTTGGTCGTGTAAGCAAAATAAAATAAGTATTAGATGAAAAAATTAGAAATGTTGCCTTGGCAACTACCTTAAAGTAGAAAATAATAATAATTATAATTATAATACAATAAATTCAATTACTAAAACTGAAATAAAATAATTTAATAATGAAATTAATTAATAAACCTATATAGAAATATAAAGAGAAATAATAAAAATTACTAAAACTTAAACTAGAATGAAAACTGAAAAAAATAAAAGCTAATTCACAAAATTAATAAATACTGTTTTATATATATATATAGACACACATTAAAATAACTGCATAATCAGCTAAATGTGTCTGTCAAGTTGACGTACTACAATTAGAAACTAAATAACTTTTATAATTAAATTAATAAATAAAGCTATATAGATTTTAAAAATGAACAAATATTATTAGAATGTGAACAACTAAGAAAAATGCCAAAAGCACAAAACGAAATTACAAAAAATAAGCTAAAATGAAAACGTTGTGTGTGTGTGTGTGTGACCCTGGAGCACAAAACCAGTCATAAGGGCCAATTTTTCTTTAAAGTCGTCCAAATGAAGTTCTTAGCAATGCATATTACTAATCAAAAATTAAGTTTTGATATATTTACGGTAGGAAATTTACTAAATGTCTTCATGGAACATGATCTTTACTTAATATCCTAATGATTTTTGGCATAAAAGAAAAATCTATAATTCTGACCCATACAATGTATTTTTGGCTATTGCTACAAATATACCCCAGCGACTTAACACTGCTTTTGTGCTCCAGGGTCACACACACACACACACATATATACCGTATTGTCCCGAATATAAGACTATAATTTTTTCTTGGAAATACATCTGAAAAAACGCGGTCGTCTTATATTTAAAAAATGTATATTAAAATTAATTGTTGGTTGTTGTAAGTTATTAATGTTAGATGAAAAACTTAAACGAAAATGAGAAATGTTGTATTGGTAAATAAAATATGTTACGTTGAAGTACTGTAATAACAAACTGAAATAAAAATAACGCTAAATAGAAATATTTAAAATGTTGAACTGCAAATAAAATAAGTTTAAGTTAAAGTACTACAAATACTCAAATAAAACACTGAAATAAAAATAAAGCTAAATAGAAATTTAAAATGTTGAATTGCAAATAAAATAAGTTCAGGTTAAAGTACTACAAATACTAAAATAAAATACTGATATAAAAATTAAAGGTAAATAGAAATTCAAAATGTTGAATTGCAAATAAAATAAGTTTAGGTTAAAGTACTACAAATACTAAAATAAAATACTGATATAAAAATTAAAGGTAAATAGAAATTCAAAATGTTGAATTGCAAATAAAATAAGTTTAGGTTAAAGTACTACAAATACTAAAATAAAATACTGATATAAAAATTAAAGGTAAATAGAAATTCAAAATGTTGAATTGCAAATAAAATAAGTTTAGGTTAAAGTACTACAAATACTAAAATAAAATACTGATATAAAAATTAAAGGTAAATAGAAATTCAAAATGTTGAATTGCAAATAAAATAAGTTTAGGTTAAAGTACTACAAATACTAAAATAAAATACTGATATAAAAATTAAAGGTAAATAGAAATTCAAAATGTTGAATTGCAAATAAAATAAGTTTAGGTTAAAGTACTACAAATACTAAAATAAAATACTGATATAAAAATTAAAGGTAAATAGAAATTCAAAATGTTGAATTGCAAATAAAATAAGTTTAGGTTAAAGTACTACAAATACTAAAATAAAATACTGATATAAAAATTAAAGGTAAATAGAAATTCAAAATGTTGAATTGCAAATAAAATAAGTTTAGGTTAAAGTACTACAAATACTAAAATAAAATACTGATATAAAAATTAAAGGTAAATAGAAATTCAAAATGTTGAATTGCAAATAAAATAAGTTTAGGTTAAAGTACTACAAATACTAAAATAAAATACTGATATAAAAATTAAAGGTAAATAGAAATTCAAAATGTTGAATTGCAAATAAAATAAGTTTAGGTTAAAGTACTACAAATACTAAAATAAAATACTGATATAAAAATTAAAGGTAAATAGAAATTCAAAATGTTGAATTGCAAATAAAATAAGTTTAGGTTAAAGTACTACAAATACTAAAATAAAATACTGATATAAAAATTAAAGGTAAATAGAAATATTTAAAATGTTGAATTGGAAATAAAATAAGTTTAAGTACTACAAATACTAAAATAAAATAATGAAATAAAAATCAATTAAAGGTAAATAGAAATATTTAAAAACTAATAAAATGACAAAGCACTTTTTCAAATAAAAATTATAATGAAAAAATGTATAAGAGCGAATTCAAAATATCTATAGATACTATAACAGTATATAAATGATAAAATAACATTGCAATAAATCAGCTAAACGAGCCTGTCGAGTTTTATCGCTATTCCTCAAACTAATAAGAAACAAGCGAAACTGTACAGTCAATGTTCACAATTAAAACTTACGCAAAACATAACAGAAGATATTCTGAAAGTGTGTGCATATTAAGTTTAAATACATCATGACTGTACTTACAGTAGGATTTCTTGCTTTGTGAGAAATGTGAGCTCCTGTGTAAGCAAAAAATTAAAAATTATACATAAAAGCAACTCCTTGCCATATAGAATAATGAATAAATGTTCAATAAATGAACATATATTTCAATAATATTACATATGTGTCTGTCTCACCTGATATTCTGACAGAAGATCTTTCGGTAATTTGCTCGATGTTCCCCCCATTACCGAATGTTTTTGTTCAGCACAACTAGCACTTTCTACATAAAAGCAACTCCTTGCCATATAGAATAATGAACATATATTTCAATAATATTACATATGTGTCTGTCTCACCTGATATTCTGACAGAAGATCTTTCGGTAATTTGCTCGATGTTCCCCCCATTACCGAATGTTTTTGTTCAGCACAACTAGCACTTTCACTTTAAACTATAATAAAGTCGACTAATGTCACTATTGTTTCATAAAAACCAAGGCAAGCGGCTGAAGTTGTGATGTTTTTAGCCAACAGCATAAACAAACTTCAGTCGAAGGCAACGCGCTTCCGCTTCCGCTTTCTGGATGACACGTCAGTTACTATGGGAACAAACTTCCACTGTGCGAAGTCAACAATGGGGAATTTCTATTTAACTTTATTTATTTATTTATGTATTTATTTATTTAGTTAGTTAGTTTAGTTAGTTAGTTAATTAATTAGTAAGTTAGTTAGTTATACAAAGAAATAACGTTTAGTTATAAAAATTTTCAGTCTATTTTTACGTTTTATAACAAAAGGTCGAGAACCGTACTGATAACCAACGTGTATTTAATATCTAATTATTTCCTGTAGCATCTTACTCATTCTTATTGTTAGTTATAATGTAACTATGTTATATAATTATGCCGTATATTATTCTGACCAAATGTTTGGAAGGAAAAGACCTTAAATTATTAATTTAGCATCACGTTGCACTGACTTTGATCTGCAATTTGCTTATTATTTTAGAAGGTGGCATCATATCACAAAAAAATATCCACTGTTATGCCACTTATTTATTATGAAATAAGTAAATTATTTATTTACAACTTTAGGCTATTTATTTTAATTTATAACACTTACTATCCCTACACGTTCTCCATTTATTGGCAGTATAATAGAGAATCAGTGAAGTTCCTGTGTTAAACAAAAACATTTAAATTATTATAAATAAAAGCATAAATCTAAATAAAATCTGCTGCTCCCATTTGCTCTTTTTACATTGACTATCACTCTATATTGACGAATTAATACAATCAGATACAAGTGAAATATGGATATTTATTGGTAAACATCATACTTGTTTCGCATATTTCAGTTAATGTTATAAACCTAGCGAGCTAAGCCAGTAGTAGTGCTGACAGTGTCGTGTAAACAATTGAAGAACCGAAAAGCGGAGGAACAGACAAACCGAATCAATTGAGTGAGTCATTTACACTGGAACCGCTCCGATTGATTCAAACTCGTGACTTCGGTCATTCAGTTCAAGCGATTCACTAGCAAAAACCAGATCAAAATTCATTTTCGAATTTCGACATCGCTTGTAATGATTTTTAAAGGGGTCATATGATGCGATTTCAAGTTTTCCTTTCTCTTTGGAGTGTTACAAGCTGTTCGTGAATACATAGTGATGGGTGAAACGGAGCTTTTCGAAACACGAATCAGTTAACCATTGGGTCACAAAACGATTCACTGTTTCGAAGCGCTCCAATCGGATCGGGCATCGCGAATCATTTGATTCAGATCGGGACTTCCGAGTGGGTTCGTGAATCTTTTTTGCGAATTTTTTTTTTTTTTTGTATAACCACAGTTTTACTACAAATACCATGGTTAAACTATGGTTAGTGAATTTGTGGTTACCATGGTTTAACTTAGCAACCATGTTTTTTTTCACCTTAAGAAGACACATAGGATGAATATAGAGATGCAGTTTTCACTGCTTCGGATAGTTTCCATACTTGTCTAGATCAACTTTGAATAAAGAAAAGAGAGGTTTAGAGCCAGATTTTATGTGTATGTGAAATTTAGCTAGCAGGAAACACAAGTTATTTAGTCAAATAATCCAAAGAGAACATCTTCAAAATAATTAAATTTTAATTTTATTTTTTAATTTTAATTTTATTTTCTGGCCAAATAATATTTTCACATACAAACCCTCGATCCATTTTTTTGTCCTATAGGTGTCGCTGTGATGTTCTTCATTATGTGGACGCCTGTTCCTCCTCTTCCTCTCTCATACGTCAAAGAAACACGTAAAGGAGACAGACCTGATAATCAGTGTCTTTCATTCTCTGTTGTACATTGCCGTGGGTGCTGTTTATTTACTTAGAAATGTTATTTGATTATACATGCATGTGTTTTTGTTTTTCATTTCTCATTCATATGTTGCAAAACTTTGAAATCCTTCGTTTATTGCTTAATAACTTATTGAACCAAGTTTGGGT